AAAGATTTAGGGAACTTAAATTCGCTAGTTATGAGAAAAACAACACAGATGTTAACGTATGCCTTTTAGAACAGAGTTACTCAGAATCATTAGACTAGAAAGTGGTGGGCGCTTTCTGCTAATTAAACTTAACTGAAAATTTCAAAATTAGAATAAAACTGCAAAAAGCAACAAAAAAATCAAAGAGATACCTGACTTCTTATTAAAACAATTATTAGAATGCAGTGCATTTTAAATAACGTTAGATGATTTTACGTTACATAATTAAACAGGTAATTGATTGAATCTATTGCGCTTTAGCCCAAGTCATCGAACATTTTTTAATTAACATAAATTTAATAAAAAAAAAACAAGAATACAGCCACGATACGAACAAATTTAGTCAATTGATATAGTCTTCAACGTTCACAATTAAAATAATGAGCTTAAAAGAAAAACAATCCTTCAAATTAAGTTTATGGAAATGATCAACTATCAATGAAACAAAGGTTATGTTTTGTTAAGATGCCTTTTGTTAATATTGCATAATTGCAAAAATATTGCATAATGTATACCAATGCTCGATAACAGATACTATATTAAAGTTTAGCAATAATTTAACTAAATTTATTTATGAGTTGAAAAATATTTCAGCATTAGGCTTTGCTGAAATACCTAAGTGAATTACAGAGGAAAACGAAAGCCTTGCTTACATTGTACGAGTTCTCTGTAGAGCAAGATACTTTTAAAAAGGTACTAGCGGAAATTAACTAAAGGACAATACCTTTAAACAATTAACAAAAATTAATAGCCTACCTCAATATACTCAAAAATTAACTTGATTAATTAATTCATACTTCAACCCAGGCAGGGCAACCGGATAAATTTAGTTGTCGAATGCCACAAACGCCTACAGGGCCAAGTAGAAAGCGGGTGGGGTCTTTTTGGCAATGACAATAGCAGTAAGCAATAGCACACTACTCAGTTGAGTCATCCATTTTACCACCAATAAATGACCGTGAAGAAGAGGTCAATCTTTATAAGTATTTAGGAATAACATACTAATCTCTAAATAGAACGTCCAAGGGAATATAAGAGCCAATTGTATTTTATTACACGAATTAAAAACGTATGGTCAGCTGATTTTCGCAACCAAGTCTACTCTCGTTGACATTAATCGATGCATTATATATATATATATATATATATATATATATATATATATATATATATATAGCATATCCCTATTTAAAGTCAATCGTAAGATAGATAGATAGATAGATAGACGAACTCTTATAAGTCTCCAAAGAAAAAAGGCCCTACGAAATATTTTCAGGCTGCGATACGTGCAAAGAATTTCCACCATTTAAAAAACTCTGCATTTTTATGGTTTCTGAATTTTTATAGAGCGGTAACTTAGAGAAATTACACAAAGGTCTATAGACAACTACTCTAATGAGGTAATGGCTAGACTTTTGTCTAGCCATTACCTCATTAGAGTAGTCACTAATCGAAGCTTAGAAACCTATGGGTTTGTAAATACCGAGTTGTCCCGAACTTTGCATGCAACTATATATTCCTTCAACAGCGCAAAAGCCCATTTTTAAACAATAACTGCTTTTTTTCTTTATGACTCAATTAAATATGCACATATCCAACAACATCAAACAGTTAGTAAGAAGCTGCCGGAGAAGCGACGGGGAATATCGGCGGAGCTTGGCAATTAAAATTTTCTATTGAACGAGTAAAAAGTTACAACCACCGAAGTTCATTACTGTCCTAACAGGAAAAGAGGAAAAAGGCCATGGCATGTTTGCACACTGACCTCAAAATAAGACTATTTCCTGCTAGACTAAATACCGAATATATCGGTGGAATAAAGGGCCATTCCTTCATACTATGATAAGGAAAAAAACAGCGGTTAGAAATGGGAAGGAACGTGGACTGGCTTAAAGAGAGACAGTTCCCAAACGTGCAAAAAAATAGACATGACCACCTTATCCTGATAAGCTCTCATAAGATAATGCGAACAGTACTACCGAAACTTACAAGCAGCTGAACAAAACGTTGTGGTTCTGTGTCTTTTCATCTAGGGCGACCTTTAGCTAGGCCAACAGCGAAGGATGAGTTTCACACTCAGGCCTTAATTTCAGGCCGTTCAGTATAAAATCTAATGTAGTAAATTCTTGACTTTTGAACTTTTTTCATAAACTTAGCTTGATTTAAGTTGAAGCTTGCGCCATTATAATCTATGACTTGTTGCTAATCAAATGCTGACCTATTTATTTTCCTGCACTACAAATCTAATGTACGAGAGCCTATAAAAGCTTAAAGTGCAAATTCAACATGACGAGATCACTTGAGATCTGAACAATTTTCTTATTAAACAGTTTTCGAGGTTTCGAAAAAAATAGTAGTCTGAACAACTGTAATGTAACTTTAACTGTTACTTTTGTGTTTCAATTTATTCTGGGCGTGTGTTAAGTCGAGCGTTGTCTTCGAGTAGGAGTGCCTTGTCTCTGTTAACTAATCTAATGTGGATATCTTTTCCTCCAATTGTGCACAGTAAACTTCAGCTGAATAAACGAATGAAAATTCATGCCGCTATAGCATATAACATCTAATTAGGACACCATATAAACATCATAAATTCTTTCATCTGTGCATTTGTTCTAAAGTGATGTTCTGTCGGTTGAGTTGTGTCCGCCCCCCGTTTAGCAGCACCATAACAGTAAAAGATTCATTTTCCGTTGCAAGTTATAATTCGGTATGAAAAAGCGTGTCATAGTTATAACGTAAAAGCTCTATGTTTTGAGTTTTACGTAGAATATCACCGTTAGCCATTCCATCAGACGACTGGCTTTCAACACGAAACGAAGCGGGTCTATGCCCGGTTCGCACCGATGTCACAATGTGTCCTTCGTAAAACGTGAAACCAGACAAAAGGCAAGCGTCTCCACATCTGTTGATTATATCAGCTCAAATCACCTGTTGTTTCCATTGTACTAGTTTGACCGAGGTGAACGGGTATAGCATGTTTACCTACACCGAGTAGCACGCAATAGCATAGAAATGCTAACTCCCATGCACTTTAAGGTGAATCGGATTGCATCACGGTACTTTACTCTTCGTCAATTGCCTTCGCAAATTGCTTTTCACAAGATTCATCTTCTCTTCACGATTTCTTTCCCGAAATCTCCTTTGACCGAACGGATTACGGTTGTTTTAGTAATAAAACCTTAACCACGTACAAGGCTTATACGACGAGCTATCTCTGCCACTGTGGTTCCAAGATTAAACTCATCCTTGTAATCTAGTCGAATTTTTTGATTATCCGTCTCCAAAGAGCCAAAATGACGATATTCAAATGAGAGATTTCAGATTTAAAAAAAAATACCAAGTGCATCTCAAATATTAAAAAAAAAAAGTATAGAAATGTCGCACCTTGTAAAGTTTTGTTAGATTAGTATCTAATTATTTAATCAGAAATTCATATTTCTTATTGAAGAACGACCTAATATTGGGTCGTCAAAAAAAATATTGCTTACTTTTCTAGCTATAGTCACATATTTCAAGTATCATAAGTCATACGAATTGGTCTTAGTGTCCACCAGCTTGTTTTAACAGTAGTAGTACCTGATACTAACACTCTTGTAATAGACGTGAATAACCTGAGGATGGTCCTGTCGCTTTTATCCTGGAAATTTCAATGTGAGAAACGTTTCCCTTAGTGGTGAATGAATTATGGAAAAGTTGATAAAATTACTGCGCAATTAAGCAAAATCGATATTTATGTAGCCATGACATCCCTAAGGAATCAAACACCCACTATTAAACCCTTAAATAATTTAAAGAAAGCTGGCTAGAAAAAGAAGTTCAGTATTTGGGTGCCAGACAGTTGTCGCAGAATAATATACTCGACCGTGTATTCATAGGGCGAAACTCTATAGAAGCGTAGTGAAATCAAGCCATTTCTAAAGCAACCGGTTATGGGTGGTAATATGTCCACCTCATACGACCATGAAATGTAGATAAAAAAAAAAAATGTCTCCACAATCTGCGGCAAAGCTAGGACTGTTTTATGGGGTTAGACAAGAACTATGTATTATTAATTGCTATCGCCTAGTAGATCGATTGATTCGAGCAACTACCATCAGCAACAGACAAGATTACAAGATAACAATCACCTGAAAAAAAATCAACCGAAACTAGTAAACAGGAAAGGCGTCATCTTCCACCATTATTATGCCGGACTATCAACTTTAGTTTTCCGACAAAGCTCGAGAAAACTTGAAACTTTCCTAATGGTGTTAACTTAGTTTCAATGGAGAAATGCAAAAACTACTTGTTTTCATTTCTGGTCCAGAAAAAACAAAAGTTCTACAATGATGAAATTTTGGTATTCCCAGCAAAATGGCAGAAAATCATCCATTAAATGGTAAGTATTTAATTTAGTAATATTATGCTGAAATGAAAAAATTGCCTTAACTTTGGCTTAAAAACGGTCAACACTTTTTCGACAACCTAACATGTGAACCATGTGGGTAAACGGCCAAACAATACGTAAATGCTTTTGTGCGTACCCCTTAAAATGTTTGATTGATTCAATTGTATATGCATTTATTACTTAATTATCGAGGATACTTTTGTTGAATCTGGAAAGCCATTTACAGAATTAACTATCTGTAATAATAACTAACTTCGTTAAGCATGTCGGTCCCTTTAAAGAATAGAGAGCAGCAATTTTTATTGGATTTTCACAGTATGCCTTATGTATTCGCAGTTTTTTAAATATGCCAAAAAAACCTTCGTTTTTGAAGAAGGCAACATTACAGCACAAACGTTGACTCTGAAAATAATGTTAGTGCAATAACCCCATATTAAAATATTATATATAAAAGGCACTTTGACAGAGTTATAAGAGAACCAATAAATTGTAAGTATAGATGTTTTTCGTTTGTTCCCGTTCTCTAAACCAATGTCTTTTCCGTTTACTTCGTAAAAAAAAACACAAAAAAAGATACAACTTATTTGAAAGCTGTTATCTTTATTTATTTACATAACATTTACAATGATGGTTGTTGTTAATACATTTGACTGGTTGGCACTACATTTTCATCTAACCGCCAAGGAGAAATGCCACCCATAGTTAATTCATATACGTTTTCTGAAGCTTTCGAGTAGATCACAAGGTCTAGTCACTGTTTCATTTTCACTGATGTTTATCAACGTTTCATCCACCTTAGGCTCTCACTTTTCATGTACTTTCACCGCTTTGAGTTGCCAGAATAAACTCTAAAGGACCGATAAAATACATCATATTACTTAGCGCCAGCCAAAGGAAAAGCATTCTTAGGACGTCTTTACCATCAGTAACTGTTACCAGAAGTTCCAACAGACCAACGTCTTATATCGATTCAAACTTCACTAATGTTGCCCCACTTGTTCCATCTCTCTCCTTCCAGCTGCAATATTATTGAAACCAAAGCAAAGAACGTACTTTTTTTTTTTCTATGTTTTGCATTAAATACTATATATGCAATATATGATTCAGTGTTCACATTTATTATTTCCTTTACATATGCAACAGATATTTCTTTTCATACGAATGTATTTATGTATTTACAACGTCCTTTCATATATTACTATTACACTACTAGTATGAATTTCCGCTAAAGATTACACCATGGCTGTTGCCTATCGGCAATTTCGTATCTGAGAAGACTCCGTAAATCCAACCAGAATCCCTCATGTGTGTAAAAGGTACGCCGTTAGTTGTTTTTTCGTTCTTGCTAAAGCTGCCGAAGCGCCTTGGCTCGTTCTTTTATGGTTCGAGAAATGCCTAGGTTAGGTTTGATGTGTATGTTTGCCCTACTTGTTCACAAAGTCTTATGGAGAAGCTTTTACCATCTAACGAAAATTTTGTCACCATTCTGAATGTCATAATAATTAAGATCACGAAGATCATTTCCAAAATCGTACTCCGGTCTTCCATCACCATATCTTTCATCGGTGGGATAGTAAGTTAGTTCTGGGCGCCGCTTGCCTGGAGTTTTGAACATCACATTTACCTAAAACGTAACCATATGCTGCTTTAAGAATCATTTGAGTTAAATTTCTGTAATTTATATTCTAATAACACAAATTAATAGAACTATTTATTCATACACGTACCATTTTTTTAAGGTTGGTTAACGACATGCTCGACGGAACCTTTTTTTCTACAGGCAGTAGTGAGGGGTTGTCCACAGCAATAAACACCAACGCTGAAATATTTATGAAAACAGAATATTTTCTACACTGAAAAACAATGTCCTTCAATGAAGGCAAGCCCAACAAATTTCCTTACTGGAATTAATATACTTTAGGATGGAGTAAACAAAACTAGGTAAGTGGTAAAGGCTAATAGTACACATATTCTATGTTAAAGGTTGCATTGTTTATCACACGTGAAATGGTTGAGTTTGCCATAGGAGCTGGTGTAAGAATGATGCGGCTGATATACATTTTGGCAAATCGCGTTTAATTGCGCCAAGTAAATTGAAAAACTTAGTGAAGACCTGATGCTGGTCCTCTACAAATTAAGTTGTTCAAAACCCACCCTACGGACCTTATATATAACCTAAACTGAGCTCGCTCTATTACGCCTGCAACTATACTCACATAGTAAAGTCTTCTTAATGTTTTCCGGTTTATTCTCCGCGACAACTATGACAGGCTCTCCGTATTCTTTAAGCAGGTGGGAGAACCGTGGGTGAAGGCAGTGGAACTGCAACGCATCGTTTTCAACACCTGATTGGCTTCGCTGGTAGTCCACGAAGCACCTAAATACAATAGCATTATAATTACGGTGAGTAACCGAATAATAACCCTAAAGTCTGTTCCATCAACACCAGTATTTAAAGCTCGATTAGCCATGTTCCCGGATATTTAAAAGTTGATAAAATAAAGTCTAGATCATATTTTGAAAACCACCTTAATTTTAACTGATTCTAATGCTATATATAGACCGAATGTGCGATACGATTGAAGGTACCTAATAAGCTGACTTAATCTATTAAAAAATCGCCTTTATTTCACACAAAACATGCTCTTCGTGTCCACAAAAACTAACAGGCCAAGGCTGTAAACCGTGTTTCCTAATATTACAGAACTACTCACTTTTTAAGGTAGTACAACTCAGCATTTTTCCTTGTTTCTCGAGACACGTCCATACGGTTCAAGTTAGACACGCGGCCTAATCGGCATAAAATCTCATTAAATGCCTGAAACGACATCAAAAGTATCGTAAGTTATTTGAAGCTATGTTGAGCGAACGTCCGTAAATCTTTAGTATAGTTGTAAAATTGATTTGATAGCTTTTAAGTTCTAAAAACAAAGATCTCTCCTAATTTACAATCATTCTGAACATTTCTGTTATTACTATTTTAAGGTAAACTTTTATATTACTAAAAGTAGCCTAAGCTACTTCAACGTTAATTCGTGCGTCAACTGTCATTATTCGTTTGCAGCAACCCTGTTCACCAAGAACATTCGCTTCGAAGCTATACCACATTTTTTTTTTTTTGGAGGTTAAGGGCTAATGCATTATGCAAACCGAACGTCATTGACTGTGCTTTGTCCGGTACTGTGGGACTCTCACCCACTAAACCCTGGACCCCTTTATCAGTTTGGGCCATGGTTCGGGATATGATTAATATTACTTCGAAACCATGACTTGCAGGAACGGTCATTTCATCATCCTTCCTTTTGAGCCGTTCCAGTCCATCCTCCATTCTGGCTTTCCTCTTGACCATACTCTCTAGATCTCGAGGGGGACCGTACTCCCTGTACTTCTGCTAATTCCAGTTGTTGTGCATCGGGCCCATGATTGTTTCGGGTATGCCCTTCATCTATTTTCTTACGTCTCATCCTTCCTAGTTGTTCTTTTCTTTTCCTAATATCGTCAAAGACAGCCGTAACTTTGGCCCAGTTCCTCCTGTCCTTTGTCATCATATCCACCATCTCCTTAGTACTGCCCTTTGTTATTACTTCTCTGTGTACCTGTTTATCTCTGACTCCCTTAAGTGTTTGGCAGTGAAGTAGAGTATGTTCTACTCCGTCCTCCACGCCCGACTCGCAGAGCACACAGATGTCCACTTGCGTTTTGGCAATCTCTGTCATGTATGTCTGGAACTGTCCATGACCCGACAAAACTTGGCAGCTATACCAAATGCCCAGATTTAATCGGACGTATCTATAGTTAAACTGCTATAAGAATAGAAGCAAATGTAGCCGACCTCATCGAAACTTCCGGCAGTTTCCATGACAGGGTTGCCATTCACTCGAAGCTGCCTCAGCGCACCGAGTTTTTCAAGCTCTGCTATGCTCCTCCATGAGGTCAATGAGTTTCCAGCCACCTCAAGACGTTCCAAGTTCGTGAATTGCTCAATTTGCTGTCCAGGGGCACCTGGGAATGAGATGCTTTGAAGTCGACACCCATTCAAGTAGAGTTCACGCAACCTATTTTAGAATAATTAACATCGTTGATACTGACGGTTAGATTTGTTTACATATTCATACCCCACAAGCTATGACAAATCAATCCTTGTCAATATATCACTACCCTTTTATGCCAATATGGTGAAAAATAAACAAGTCAGCTGTCTCTCTGGTTTATTTGTTATTATACGTACATATAGATCTGACCTTCATAGGGGTAAATGCTAGGTGAAGTCACTTTAATTGGTCCGTTAAATGGCTTACAGGGTAAGCTAAGTAAAATGCTTATTCTGAATACGCAGGCAAATTTAGTATTGAAGTTTGCTTTACTTAGTACTGTTCTACGGTTGGATATCCAGGTAAATTCAATTGACATAAGTCTTACTTTGGCAGATACGCAAGATGAGCAACTTCTTGCCACGAACTTAACGGGTTTTCTTGAAGGCTGAGAGATTGCAAATTATAAAACAGCGATTTCGGGGGTGTCGTCAAAGAACTGATGTTATTTGCACTAACCTGAAATAAATATATTGAAAATCGATGAAATAATTATATTTTTTGAATTCAGAAGGTCATTGACTAAATAGAAAGCTATTGTCAATTAAAATCATCAAAAAAAAATTGACCTACAAAAATATTTATTTAGAACTCTTTAAAACTAGAAACGTAAAGATTTCCAAAAAAAAAACACACAAAGTTTTTGTTACCATAAGAAAGCCTTAGATATGTTGTATAAAAGCAAGCTCTAGCATTTTTGGAAGACAGCCATACGACTACGAGTGAGAAGCGTAACGCTTGCTTTTATACAAAATTGCGAACTCTAACAATTCTTTTTAGCGTCTTATATTTACTACTTTTAGACACGTCTTATTTTAGTACAAATATTTTACTGCATGCCTGTGAGAGATATATATCACCCCGTGCAAGCAGTTTTTAGAATACTTATGGTTACATTCCATTCGGCTAACTTACACCATGGAAATTCAGAGTGACCTATTTCTTCGCTGATTCTTCAAGTTTTCCATTATCTTAAATGGAAAGTGCTGCCCTACATTCGGGGCATGATATTCTTTCGTATATAGCTGCAAGATTAACTACGCAAAACTTTCATTGAGGTCGCGACCTTCAATTAACCTTTATAATTTGGACTGTGTACCGCACTAAGCAAAAAAAAAAATGTTTGACCGTGTTCTATGACAAATTTACGTATGCATGAATAGAGTCATTGTATTCTGTTAAGTCAATGTGAAATCAATTTGTTAATCGACTGACGAATATTTTGGGCACGTTTTGAAATCTATCTCTCTTATCTCGTCATGTATTTCGATAAATTGTTCACAGAATGATGAAGCGCAATGGCTGCTTATTGAACAAATATACTTTCCGTTGCAATCAATTGCCTTTTACTTTACAAGTTGGTCAATATGTCTTTTAACAGGGTGACCGAATTCGTTTGGGTGCCACCGTATGTATACATTTCTATAAAGCTATATCTATGCAACCAATAAAAAGCTACCTGGTAAAGGTTGTCTAAAAGGTATTAAGCGCGGTAAAACTTACTTCTAAAGCTTCGATATGTGGCCACATCGGGGCCAATTGCAGAATGTGCTCCCAGGTAAGATTGCTTGCCTCCAAAGAGATGTTTTTCACAGACTGGAATGCCTCTTGGTGTTTTGTAACCAGGCTCGGAACCCGAAGATGGTTCTTACTATAATCCGAAAATTTGCGCCAACAAAACAAAAAACAAACAAATAATATATATATATAAAGACAAGTGATCATTTAATTCACGTCCCTTTGGCGATGACAAGAATCGTGACAAATCGTCGGATCGTGAACTGGTTGACTTTATGGTCAGTTCTGCTATAAAGATCATGCTAACTGATCATCCCATTTCTAGCAATAGCTTGTATGTGTAGGATATACAGTACAAATATATAATAGTATTCTGGAAGTTGAACTCTTAGAGGATTTTATTACGTCCATAAGAGATGCAATTGAGTACCTGAAAATCGTATGTAGCTTAAAGTGGCACAGTCACTGTATAACTTATGCGAAACATCGCTCACAAAGCAATGTGATTTTGCCTTTTAATTGTTTACATGCTCCACATAGGCACATGACTTTCTCATATATACATATGTTCACTTGAAACAATAATGGCTATTGTTCTCTTTCCTGTTAAATTTTTAATGCTTATTTATTTCTATGCATTGCTCACGAATACTATCTCTTCTCTATCTATGTTGAAATTCACCTATGTAGTAGACGGAATTTATGTCAAGCCCAAACGTCAAAAATGGAGGTCCCAGGTATAAAACAACGTATTTTTGACAAATACTGTTTTGCCTCTGGCTGAAATCAAGTAGGCGCCGAAGCAGTACGGCATGTTTGGGCTTCAAAGGATTGTTCGACACCCGTTTGTGAAGTTAATTTTTTTTGGAACATTTTTTTTTTTGGAACCGGAGGATACACCTTGTCCGGTCGACTGCCTGAAACAATAATGAATCGATGAAGGCATATGATTGCCAATCGTCACTTCATATCTATAGGATGTATTAAAAAATTACGAGCCTGTGTACCTTCTCGACAGAGCGAAGGAGACAAAGAAATATGGCTGCTTATTCCTTCTCAGCATCTTGTTCGATACTAAACAACGATATTAAACAACGAGCAGTTACAATCACATGTCTTTAAACCGAATGAGATGTAATGTCTCCACGTCAATATAAAGCAAGGAATAAGTAACTCTTAGATATAAACTAAGCTGAAAAATGATGTCCACATTGGCTTATATATGGACCAGTTGTAATGAGTGAACGGGGTTATTCAACAGACAAGACTAAGTCATAGTTGTCCAGTGGGAGCTTCTTTTGTATCTACTGTGTTTTTCAGAATTCGTGCTCAATAAGTTGTAAATGAAATTAATAACCATTTCATTAGACTGTGATTAGGGTCTCAAAGATTGGGCGGACAAAATTTTAAGAAAAACAAATATATAAATCACTTAAGAAATAAAAGAGGAAGTCGCAGCGCCTATAGTACAAGTCTATTTTACAGCTATAGACTTTGAGTAAAACGCTGCGTTTTTATTAAACGAAAAACTACCATTACTTATATACATATATATATATATATATATATATATATATATATATATATATATATATATATTGAAATTACCAGTTATATGCGAATTTGGTGTGGGAAATCACAAAACAATCTTAAGATTAACCTCCTTAACTAGAACATCGGAAAGGAGCTAGCCTTAAATCTTCATTTAGTAATATGCAACATCGTTTATATGAGCAGTATGAAACACAAATTCGTAAATGTTATTATGAACGCATATGCACGCAATGTTATAAGAGACGTCCAATTGAAAGAATTGTCAAATCTTAAAAAACATACACATCAATCAACGATGCGATCTTTTAAAAATGCGGTTGCACTACTCTGAGACTGCAGGGCGACAAGGTCGCGAATACTTTACTACTTCAGCCTTCAATAACGCGCTTTAGTCATCACGAACAACAACACACGCAAAATATTTTGGAAAATGGATTAAATAAGCGACCTATGCTTGTCTTGAGTTAGCGCTCAAACGCGTCTGAGTTAATACTGAATATTGTTTCTACACGCTACAGCTAGTGTGCAATGACACTGCCCGTGAAGAACTCCATATGCAATACAAAATATAGAGCCAGCTTTATGCAGCCGCTTACTAAGCTATAAGATACTATAGGGAATGGACCAATATATCAGCAGACAAAAGCGAAACGAAGCGGGAGCATCTTAAAAAATGTAACAATTAGTTCTATTGGGAAATGAAAAATACATGCAAAATCATACATATTTCTTGCAGGTAAAACATGTGTTTGTATGGATGCTTATAGTAACATTGCAACCATCCATCAGATATTACATGTATGTAGAATATATACAGCTTGACAATAAGCCCCACCTAATTTTGACTTTATCCCTGCTGATAAACACATGTCCAAGACACATTACACAGTATCATGGGCAGAGTTTATTGAATTTACGCCAGTTTTCCCTTCTATTATTTGTAATTAAATAGATATAAAAAAAAAATAGAGAAATACCTAACTTAAAGACATGTGTTTGCGCTGTAACCATATTGTCGACTAATGTATAGGACCAGGTTGTATTTAAATGACATCTACACGTCAGTCAATGATATCGTGCATTCTGACTTACAAACTGGATTAGTATCGATTAGAATTGCAACTAAAAAAAGTAAGTAGTAGGTTTCATTGGCAAATGAAAAAGTGTGTGGAAGAAATAATTAGGGTTACTATTACTTTAATCGCTATAAACACAGTCACTTTTTAAAGTGCACAAACACCACAAAGTGGCCGTTTTATATATATATAGCTGTTATTAGCAAATCTGGTGTATCTGCCTCAACTATATGACAGCCTGGCTGTCATATAGTTGAGACAAATGTATTGATATATATACAGCCATATATCTAATATTCATGTTTCCATATGTAAGCTCTCTGCCTATAGCTTCTCGTAATAGATCGATAGTGAGATACGCTTCCCCTTTTTAGGGCATGAGGAACCTCGTAATCCCACGGACTCAGTTGGGAAGAATAAGCGGGTTGAAGTCAACGTTGAATGCTTTTGTGCTCAAGCAAGAAGTAACTGAAGCATAGCGATAACCTTCGGCATTGTCATCAAGTAACCAGATTGCGTGCTTTCAATTGCCGTGCCAACGGCCCATGACTTTGTTGAGCGACTCAAAGGAGCAGATTGCATTCATTATTTCGACAAGTATCTCATAGTAGCAGATGTCCTTAATGTCCCCTGCAAGTACTACCATAACCCTACGTGTGACTCTACTTGACATTACCACTAAACTCGATTTCTGTTTAGAGAAACGCCATTCTCTCGCTTGGTCCTTTTTGGGCTGGAGGTAGAGATTAAACCACGACTCGTCTATGCGGATCGCATGCTCCAGGCAGGTTTGTTGTCAATGTTATTGATTAAATTTTGCAAATTGCACGTGAGGTACATCACACGCATTTCTAGATAGCCTGGAGGTTATTTACGGATAATCCATTTTTTACTCAAGTTCCGGCTTTTTAAGCCCTGTGCTTTTCAAAGAATAAAAATTTGGCAACTGAGCGTTGATTTCCAAACCTAAAAAATATTCTTCTACTTTGATTGCATTTCTCCTAGAATTAACTCAACCGGCTCAGGCTAGTATATTGGCCAGTTAAAGTTCGTTTACGAATGGCGCGCAGTTCAAAACTTATTCAATTCGAACTTTGCCGGATTCGTTTATGACAGCCATATATCGTTATAAATTTACAGAATTAGTGCACATACTACCTAAAAACACTTTATAAATTACCAACCCTAATTTGAGTTCGGTGAGATGCGGGAGTTGCTGAGCAATTAACGCTACAGTATCCCAATGGGAGAGTAACGTGTGCGACAAATCGAGTTCGTAGATGAACGGCGCCACGGACGGTATCTCTCGGCCAGCTGACGACACAGGCAAATTGTGAAGGTTTACAATACGTAAACGCTCTTGCCGACTGAAAAATATTATCAAAAATTGTGTAAAAACCCTTGATGTTGCTATGGTATTAAGTAACTAGTCTTAAAATTCAGTAAGTACTTGGTATAATCGAATTTAGAACAAGAATTGTAAAAATTCACACCAACAAACGGAATATTACAGCAAATTTTCTAGCATACTTGTTCATATATACTAAAAAAAAATTAACTCACCTCTGCAGCTCAGAGACCATTTCAGGTCCAACGAATTCAATAATTTTAATATTACTCCGAGCATTGCCAATATTTCCTAGAAGCCACACGTCAGCCTCATTTTCTGTGCTCTGTTTATCCTTTCCTTTAGTTTTTTCATCTTTTTCATGTTCGAAGTATTTTGCTTTAATGGCTTCGGTCACTGAAATGCCCAATTCTGCCTTTGAGGGTCGCACAAAAGAGCCTCCTGTTGCGTGTCTAAAATCCGTAACAATAAAAGATCAGTATAATCGCTAATCAGCGGAATCCCTTTGGCAAATTGCCTGTTGACGTCCATCAAGAAAGCTCGAAGGGCCGACATTTTTGGCTGCGAATAACCTTAAACACCTTAAAATAACTTATGAAAAATTATATCCAGTAGCATTGCACGCTTATAAAAAAGATCCATGAGGTTTGCTATCATGGTAAAACCAGACATAAAGGAAAGTTAGGCTAGATTTTTCATGAATACATACCGTGTTTTGAAGTACTGCGTTCCATTGTAACACCCGTTGTGTTTGCCACGAGCGGGATCGTCCCATTCAACACCCAACCATAATCCTTGAGTTCCCTTCACAGCTCCCTGGAAACGCACGGTTGCGTAGCAGCCGTCAACTGAAACGCGCTGTCCCATGACGGCAACTGGCGATGTTGCGTCCATCTGCTGCTGCTAATGTTGGAACTGTGACACTTGATTTCGGAATTGTTTGCAGATGGCGTTGAGAGTGGCGTAGAGTATTTTGACCTGCTTTGACTTCAGCTAGAGAAGTCCTTGAAGACGTCTACAGAATAACAAGGTAACGTGTCTATCAGTAAAATACATACGGTGACACTACTATACAAGTAATAAAGTAACATTAATTTAGAAGCAAAAACTCTAAGATTTGCAGACGACAAAATAAATGAACTATCCTTGAAATGTTTATTCGAATTAATCTAATTCATCATCATATTTTTAAAAGTAGAGGCTTTTTAATATGTCCCTAGCTTTTAAGTAAGGGATATATAAATAAATGTATTAAGACTTATCAATTTACTCGCCGCTCCCCGAGCAGTGCAATTTGAGTCGACAGTCAGCTTAGCGTGTCAACGCAACTCTTGAAAATAATGATCAAAATACTTATTTCAAATATAGCCACTTTTGAAAATGTATATTCTTCATAGATGTATTTTACTTTCTATTATTTGGTAATGCATATTTTGAACTAAACCTGCGGGGTTATCTTTTTAACTTTTATATTTCACTGTGGCCGCAAAAGGTATTACGCACTCATAGTTCTACTACTCGAACATTAGCGATCCACCCTGGAAAATATTAACTATCCGCTAATTCGAATTCGATATAAACAAGCAACGGAGCTACCTTAACATGCACAAAGAACAGCCGTCTTTGCAAATAACATAGCACCAATGAAAAATTGTAACCAGAGTTGCCAGTGTAGATCGGAACAACGGCTATTTTGAGAGCATATTCATATTGATTCTATCAATGTCGTTCAACCAGAAGCTTTTATTGTAATGTGTTTCGTTTTGACTGTTTTCCGATGGCGAATCAGCGGTTGCCCTGTCTGCCCATTGTTGATAGGCTAACAATCAACTGTATGCATCTAAGGTGGTGCCAGTCTTATTCGTAGTTCAATAACGATTGTGTCAGTTCTAAGCTTGACTGAGATTCAGAAGCACGTCACGATTTTCTTTGGCTTTAAAAGAAGTCGATCTGATCAACAGATATAAAACCGTAATATTATAGAAACATACAACATGATAGGGTTCCGTAGCTAACATTTTGTCGATTCTCCCTAGGACACTTGTTAATACATTATTTATGCAATTTTAAATATTAGTTGCATTATCGCAAAGTATTAAGCATAGTTTTTCCAAAATAGATTACTTTATTCTACTACATGTTGTACCTTTGAATTGCCGCGGAAGAGTAAAAGCTTAGCACACAGTTGTTTAAGAAAAAGAGCCAAAAACATTACTAATACCTACATAGCATTTTGGAGAAGTCACCAAGGCAAATAATGTTACTGTACAGTGATTCACGACCCTACCAAGGTCCCAAACGCATTTTGGATAGCATCTCCTCTAACGGACCTTATTCCCAACCCGCGAAGGATCTTATTAGAACTCCACAAAGAAACTAAATTACCACAAACCAGCGTCGACAGCATTATTAAGAACTTTTAGCAACTTAGGTAACTCGCAACAATGGCTAAAATAAATTATACAACGGTTAGTCGTAAAAAAACACGCCATTTTCAAGAAGCATTTAAGTTGCTCATACCCTGGTAAAATAATTGGATTACTGAAATTATAGGCTTTATTGGAATATACGTGTTAGAAAAAAATGTCTGTCTTACCGTGGCATTCATATTAAGTCTAAGATAGTCTAAACTACTGACACCTATATTTATCTGTTCCCCACCTTTTCAAAAGACCTTTTCTTAAAAAGGAATACCTGTACAGGTTGTATCACCCGCCACTCGAAAATACTCTTACATACTTTCTTGGACCGATCATTTCAATCGATTCGCACAAAGCCTAAAGTCTTTGTATTACGTTACCAACATAGACATAAGCATTCCATGAAAATCCAAAATAATAATAGGTGTTGGTTCTAACATTCTCAATAATTTTACTAAACACGAGCGAGAAACAGAGGAGACAAGTTTGCCTTCGTACAAGCAAAGAAAGTTCATTCTTTACTTTGTTTCCATTTTAGTTAAATGAATATAGGCGAACAACGTTGCTTTCTCCGAACTCAGTGCTCAGTTCATAAAATTGGAACATACCTTGGGGCAACATTTATCTCGCAAGGAAGTGGGATGCTGTTAGCGATCACCCACACACTATTTTCATTTCACAGGTAGCTTAAAGCACTCGCTAAGCACTAAACCAGTTGATCATCGCAGTTGTATTATTTTGTAATTCTTTTTTTGTCCACCTAACCTCTTTAGTGGAGCCCTCGGTGCCATTACATCTGGTGCCACCGTCAGGCGCTTCCTTGGACTGAAGTACTGTTAATTTTTATCAATTGCGTTCGTCTCTATTCGTTTTCGTGTACTTTAACTACATAACATCACAAGCACAATGTGTCACAGTGAAACCTGTGCTCCTTCGGCTATCTGCACACTATCTCTAAACCCACTGAATAGCAATTCCTTCACTGGCGCCTCCTTTGTTTGGCAGCTGAATAAATGTTAGGATCATTGAGTTAATGCACCTACAATTCGCCCAGACAGCATCAGTTATCATGAAAGCATAAGCATAGAGGTACATTACTCTACTGGCTAACACTTAACACGTTGGAAGTGTTTGCTCTGATATGGTCGAGAGATTTGTGCATCTACCCAGTCTGATCATAGCTTATATCAGACCAACGTTACCCCGCCAGCTCTTCACCTTGCTAACCTCTAGCCTTTCTCCGTACTATATTTTTCGCGCTATCTCTAGGACTGAGTGTTGATGTGTACGAATTTTTTCCCACCGAACCGTGTTTCGAAATGTAGCCGTCGGACGTTGGTTATTGGTGGACATCCAATATAACACTGCAGTACATATCTTCTTGGCCTTGACACGCCTGACCTGACCTACACTGTTATTGCTGATATTGCTGTTGAGTATAAAAAGGGAAGAACGCGATTTACAATGTGATGAGGTCGAAGCGCTGGCAAAGGTCCACAGGGTTGCTTGTCAGCGAATACTGCAGGCTTCCAGCTTACCAACACCTAAGAAATATGGACACACTGTCACACTAAGCACTTCTGTAAGGCATCATTCAGCGGCGATTGCATACAGACAAACGTTTTGCACACATCTGCATTCATAAAATCGTAAAGAAATAGAATCTGCCCGACCTAGCGTGCACTTCTAGCATATATTACTATTTTTTTTATTTACATCTCATGTTAGATTAGTTTTTGTAATATATTTGCAAGTACATATACCTTGTTTATATACAATCACTAATGATGACATTAGTAGTGGACAGAGCGGCTTAAGGCCAAGAAAAGAACTACAAGAGAGCAAAATATTATCGCTACGAATTATAAATATAGCTTGTAGCAGTTACATTTTACCTAAATAATCGACCGCCAGGTATAGACCTGATCACCCCAATAGAGCGACTGCCATAAGCAAGTGAACTAAGAGTAGGTCGTCATCTAAAAACTAATTTAAATTTAGGATTTAATTGTGACAAATCTTAAATGACAACGATAACAAACCGACTACAATTTGCTTTTAATTATAATCGTACATCATTTAGGTGAATATATCTGACACAGGAGAGTTTTCGAGTACATTTTAAATCATTGTACATGGACAAACGTACATGTGCAAGCTTGACTCAGTTCAAAATAAAGTAAGGTTGCACTTAAATGAACACATACAGTAATATAAACACTCATGTCCTATTTTATATTCGCTTAGACGATATATATAAATGGGATGGTAATTAAAGAACAGATTCTTAATAAACAATTCCATACAACTACTAATATCAGTGAAATATAGAGGTCAGAAAAATATTGCATATAATTAAAAAAAAGCCATCTCACCATTCGCAGTTTGGAATTTTTTTTATTTAGCTTTACAGTTATTTTATATGAGCGAATCAAGATTTTAACCAGCGTGGTAGCATGCTTGTCACGGTTACCATGGCAACGTATTTTATTACGGATGTGCCTCCCATACCATGCCACCTTCCTATTCAGTGCCTTGAAGTAAGAAAAGCCTTGGTAAGCTAGAGAAAAAGTAGGTCATTTTAGTAGCTTTGATAGATGACGAACGTTGCGATTATGGAGGATATCAAAAATGGGAAGATAAGCGTCCAAAGGGTCGGTTAATCATTGACAAATAGTAACGTAACATCTCATACACAGAGCATGAAATTATTGCACTAGAACAAGGCCAAGCTACGTGAAGGCTACGAAGCCCATTTGAATTTTTGGGTAAAAAGGAGTAATCGAAAGAAGCTGCTGAAGTTCGTAATTTTTCACAAGGACAGGCCTCAAGGATTTCCTCAAGGAAGATTATTTTTTGAGAACTCCTGCAGCTGACCTACGCAGTGAACTCCAGGTGCTTTTTTCGGTTTTCACATTTACTTAACTTTTTATATAAATCAACTGATTGCAGTATCTTCCTCTAGTAGAAATATTCCAAGCCATGTCTATAAAAACTGGACGTCGCCATGTGCTAGTAATTCAACTGTCTTTCAAGCACTTACCTTTCAATCATTTTTACTTGATAATTTCTTAGACCACACACCCAACATCTTTCACGATAGAAATTTGAAGTCGCTTGTTTCATTGCTCGTTTATCAAGTAGTTCGTTGTTTTCATTTGTGACGAATGTTTAATTACCTTGTTAAAAATGCTCTTCCTATTTAGCGCACTGATATACTTTTCGAAGGTGTTCATTCGCTTGTTAACTTACCCCACAATTTGAATCGTGTTTCCACCTTAACAAAAAATAAAACGCAACATTTTTTTTGTGTAGGAATCTCTGTGTATATGTCATAGTAAATTAGGCTGCTATATTGTGTGTGAATATAACAATCGATTCTTTGGTCCTTTGACACGCTTTAAAAAAGTATTTTTAAACTCCGTTCTTTACTATAAATAAATATTGTTGTCGATTTTAGTCTTTAAAGTATTGAAATTAATTTTTCAAAAAAAAATATGCGTATGAATATTTTATGGGTATGTATGAAAGAACTTCGTCATATTCAGACAATTATGTACGACGTATGCATACCCTTGGGGCCACTATACACCTATTAGCTCCCTCTAAAAATACTTGTTTAATACGTAATCATCTGAATATATAAATATATCCAATGATCTTAAAATGGCTCCAACAATTTTGACTATTTTGGACGAAAGGGGTTGCTTTTACCAGGGAAGTTTCTGGGGAAAAATTGGTTTTTAAAAAATGTTACTTTGGTGCTTACAAACTGAAAATTAACCCTTTTAAAAGCTTATGTTGAACGTGATAGCAGATGATATTTCTGAATTGAAATATTCTTTTTCACAGAAGTAGAAATACGTTGAATTAGGCATTGTGCGTAAATGTTTCACCATTCGCTACTGTTCGTTGGCCTCTCCGCGCGATCAAAGAAGGTATTGCTTTTCTTGTATAGACTGAGCGTTACTATTTTTTTAAGAATATATAAACAAAGCATTAATTCTGAGATGAATAGGTATTAAAAAAATAGTATTCCTGAAAACAACAGTGAAAAGTTAATTGTTCTCCGTAAATCCTTCGTAAGTGACAAGGGATACTGTGACGAAGCGCAAAACATAAAACAGTATCCGGATATATGTCAATCCAATACTCTGCATTAAACACCCTCCGTATCATCACGTTTAAAATTATCAAGAAAGGCCAATACAAATACGTGTTATAGAATTTTCTACTATAAATTAAAGCACACATAATGGTTTGGATATTTTTATCTAAATTAATCAAGTTGGCATCATTAGCGCCATTTGTTTTAACCGAAGTTTTTATATCCATTATAAAAATTAGTCAGATTTTGTCGTATCGAAAAATCGTAATATAAACTTCAAAACGACGATAGAAATTAAGATTGAAGTGCTCTCGTTGTGGCTTTTTTTCTCCCTTAATAGTAAATAAATGTATTTCTATTGGCTTTTCAGAAAATAAGTACGTATCCTATAACGGGAATATTAGAGGCATGAGATAGTAACTTACATAAACCTTGAAAAAAATCAGGGGCCAGTGCCAAGTTGTAGCATTATTATAAATATTAGCAGCTATAATGCTTAACAGAAGTATCGGACGTCAACTATAAAATACTTAGTTTCGAAAAATCACTGTACGATTGATTTAACGGCGATAGGGGTAGGGCGCTTTTTATCACCTACAAGAGTTGATTTCACACAATTTTCAGCTACCTTTAATAACTTAGTTTGACTGCCTTGATATGTGCATTCTGTGCCCTGATGTTTAGAGATCCCACTGCGCCAAAATACTAGCTTTTTCGACAATATTTGACAAATATCAAAGGTCTTAGGATAATATCATGTTTCGTTTCAACGGTACGAGCAGAGTGCCTATCTTAGACATAATAGATATAAGACAAAGTGACATAGATTATTTTCAGGGCGCATCTTCGCTCTTCTAGGTTATAGATTCGATTCATATTCATTGATAGCATTGATGAATATCGTCTTCTCGCAAGCATAACGTACGATTTCTGTGTAATCGTTTGGATATCTGAAAGACAAATGCAACGGGCTATTCAACTCTTCTATTTTTTTTTAATCATCCAGTTAGTCTCGTTCTATTCACTATTGCATTCGAACTTACCATTGAAGGTGAACATCATTAATTGCACAAGACAAAATCTACTGTCTAGCATAAACTTAAATGCGTATTTTACCCCATAGCCAATGTTCGTCGTTGACCTCAATTATCCGGAAAAGAAATTCGTATACAGAAATATAACATACTAATTTGAAATATACTTTAATAAGTAAAATAAAAGACGGTTTTCCTTTGTTCCAGCACGATAAAATGAATAGAAGACATGCGGTTTTAACTAGTTTAAACATACTTATGTTTTTATTCATTATCGCTTCAGTCTTAGCCTAAGATTTATATATATATATATA